GCTTAAAATATTATAAAATGTTGATCTAGAACTTTCCAAATCCAGTTATATAATCGCGAAGGTCTATGGTAATATAATTATAACACTTTCTTACGTTATAAGCATAAAATATTTTAACTTAGTTATTCAAGAGATAATATTACATAATTGCATATTTTAATAATTCTCATTGCATAAATTTTATAAATTTACAAAGTCAATATAAAATATTATTTTATATAAATTCATATGTGTTTTGATGAAAATTCAACTACAGTTTTTTTTTAATTGATTATATATTTAGGGTCGTCAATCGAATTAACTTTATAATTGAGCCAAAATCTTAAAAATACGCCATGAATGGATTCTCCAGCTTGCTCCGACCACTTTCCGAAGCCGTCATTGCCTAAAAAATGCAGACAATGTTCCAAATGATTTAGAAGCACGTGAATTTTTAATGTTTCCGACATTTCTGTGCTTCGGAAGGCTTTAGCGAGTTTACGCACAAGATTTTTTAATTCTGACCCAACTGACAAAGCAGTCAACCCATTGGTGGAGTTTATTTCACTCAATACATTTAAGGTATGTGCTCTCCCTTGTATAACTTTTGGATGGCTGGTTGCCCGAGCAGTGAGGCAGATATAACAAGAGCATGAACTGGTTCTTGTTTTTTTTGTCGAATCTTCATAGTTAGGCATGTTTGGAAGAGGCCGCGTTGCATTTGGTATATCCTTATCTCGGTCACAGAGAACATTACGACATGTACCACAAATGCCTAATGGGAACTTCGAATTGGTTAATCTAAAATTTTCACTAACGTATTTTTTAATAAGACACTCCAATTTTGCGGTTATATTAAATTCTGAAGATTGTGACGATCCGAATTTAATCTTTCTCCCACAAGGCGCGCACACTTTAAATCTGTTCTCTTCGTGATTACACTTATGTTGCGGATGACTTATAGAAGACATGATGTGCAATCAAATAGCTTACACCAGAAATATTATCTTAGAGAAAAATACTATCTGTTTTTTTTTTACACTAATATACAAAACGATAACTTTAGAATACTCTGTTGAACAAGAAATACTAACAATTGCAGTTAAATTTTTTCCAAATTTTCATTTGACAATATTTTAGGCATAGGAGCAGATATGATTTTAATTCCAACGGCATATTGGTCTATGGGTGCGTTCCAAAACAGGTATGCAAGCAGTTTTGGTTGGCATTTTAGTCATACCTATCATTGTTTCAAGACCACTGTGAGCTAGAGATTGGCCTTTAGTACATATGAAAAAAAAAAAAAAATACAAAAGACTAGGTTTGATTTTTTTCTTAAAAATTAAAATATCTGGGGTAAATTAC